TAATTGAACTCATTTTATTGACTATTATATTAAACTGTTATACTCCCTGAATTGCATATGCTTTTGGACCACCATATGGTTCCACAGACAAGAGCTTTTCTGTAGGGCAAAATACAGTGAAAATTTAGGGACCATTAAGATGTTTTCGTTTATTTCATTTGTGTATGTACATGTTAAAGTGGTGATCAGTGATTATAGTTATAACACAGTCTCTTCTATGAACTTATGTTTGTAAGATTCAAATGGAAGCAAAACTTTATTGTTTATAATGTGCTAGATATTTATCATATCAAATAGAAAATACATAAGGTAGATATTATTCGTAGATGCTGAAAAATGTGAAGTCCATTGCTTAACATCCCATAGTTAGTGAATAGCGGCACCAGAATTGGAAACCAGATCTGTCTGATTCAAAAGTGCATGCTCATTATACTGTAGCTCCAAAGTAATTGATTGTACCTGTACGCTTTTCTTCAAAACATAGAAGTCTGTTCATTCACCTGTCTGCTATTTTCAATAGGTATTGTTAGATCATGCAAGTAATTATTCTGATTCCTTTGATATGTTAAAAACTGATGAAGATAAGCAAAACTCGTTAGAGTGATAAAAAAAATTGTCAACATAGGCATAATATAATAATTTGCTTATCCTTATTGCGTGTTGACTATTTGAACATGAATCACATAACACATGCATATTTTACTTGGATTAGTCTATTGTGGATATTATTACCTCCTTATTAGACAGAAAAATCTTGACATATGCTAGCCAAAGAAGTTGTTTTGAATTAGATATGTTTCTTTGAATGATGTTTCTAAGTCAATTCTTGTTATTCACATGAGTATCAGTGTTATTAGAGTCTAACTGAACAGTCATATGGTCCCTGAAGTTTTCCTTTCAAAGCTGTTAAGATTCTTTATAATTAAATATTTCAGAAAACTTCTTTTATCTTATCTGCAATTAACTTACAGTCTAGGAAGCAAATTATTTACAGGTTTGGAAAATAGTCTATTTGAGAAAATATATTTAGGTATTGTTAAGGAGAATGATAGAATTATTTCTTTATACACTGTATAATTATACTGCTTTTATTAGACTTTCATATCACCGGACAGAATTCAATGCTAGTGGAAGAGATAAAGGTACGACAAAAAGTGAAGGTTGAGAATGAATAGGCCTTCAAGGGAGCTGATCTTTCTTTGATCTGATAAAACTTCTCCCATTCTCTATTTCTTTTTTTTTTTTGCTTGCAGATCACTGTTTATGAAAAGCTTTTTCTCTGATTAGCAATATTCTCTCAGGATTTGAGCGCAAGACCTGCACAAAGACAGTTCCCAAACTGACATGATTTTTTTGTTCTGTTTTTATGTTTTATCTTTAGCAGTTTCTAAAAATTTGCTGAGAAATTTTCCATTAACCTGAAGTAGTTTTTTTACCAATGTTTTTGGTTTTAATGCTATTATTCCTTTCATATATTCTGTGAATAACTGGTGATGGAAACACTTTTGATGGGTTTGAAGGAGAATAAAGATTGGTCTTGTGGAATGGGCATAAGCTTTGGAGTCAGAAGGCTTAGGTTCAAGTCCATTTTGTTAGACTTGTGAGTCCTTAAAATAGTCTTTAAAGTGATTTTCTATTTTAAATGCTCAAGCCACTAGGTAGGTAGGGATGTATATAGTATTAATACACCTGTGACATTGTATATATACTTATCATTTCCATACCCAAAGGATTTTTGTATACACATGTGCTGTTTCATTCATGATAAAACCATTTAATGAATCTTTCTGGCTTATCTTAATATGGGCAGAAGTGTTTCAATTTTCTCTCATAGGTATTTATGCTGAGCTGGGTTTTTTGTTTCTATCTGGTGCTTGATCTAGTTTTAATGTTTGATAATGTATTAAACTATTCTATATATTAAATGAGAAAAAATACATTTTCTTTTTTCTGAAGTGAGTTATTGTCACAGGATAACTTATATAGCCAACTATGGAAACAAGGATCCTCTATGGAGCAAATATTCACGTTTTATTAGGTAGGAATTTTATCAGTCTCAACACAGTTTGCCTGTGGCATTTAATGGTAGATTATTGGCTTTACAAATAAAATGTCATTTGACCAGAATAGCAGTTAATTCGGGACTTGAAGTATCCAGAAGACGTGTTAGTTTTTAATAAGTCATGACTAGCTGATCTTTTGCCACAAGCAAGAGCACCATCAGAAACTACTTGTGTTAGTCCCCAAGATAGACTCTCTAAGTATCTAAGGTTCAGTATTATGCTTTATCGTGAAATTTGCTAGGTAAAAAAATATTTTATTAATTTCTTCATGAACAAAGAAGATAATAGTAGTGCATTTTCCTGATTATGTATTTCTGGATTTCTACTCTTGGGATATAAAATTAGCAACTTTCGAGCTTCAAACCAGCCTTTTGAAGTACATGTTTTTTTTCTCTTATGCATAACTACATGTCTTTAGGTTTCTCAAACTATTTCAGAATCTTGCAATAAATGGCATTTACCTTATAAAATTAGTGTTTAAAAATATATATTAGAAATAAAGCTGATTTGAACTTTCCTCCCCCTAGAATTATCTTATAGTTTGTTACTATTGTTTATCCCTCTTCAATTTTTTTCTAGAAATAATTAACTGTTATGATTACTGTTATTATGGCTTATTAAATATGAATTATGTTTATATCATAAGCCACGTGACTCTTGGTCAGATCAGTTAAGTTGGAGGTCTTTCTCATGCTGTCCAGAGTAGGAAACAGCCTGGTGACTTTAGAGCGGGTCCTTTGAAAACCATGTATGACCCTGTGGGTGAATGTCTCCTGATGTGTTTTGTTTGTTGGGGTGTCACATTCTTTCTGTGCTTTGTGCAAGGAAAAATCTTAAAATCTCTCCCCAAGACTTAAAGACAGTTTAGAGTTCTAACATTTCTTAATCTAAAAACTTTTACTTATTTATATTTTATCCAGTATTTTGTTTAAATTCACAAAATACTTAGGTTTATTTGCCCCATACGTATGAATGTTTAGCTGTTCTTATATTGCCTGTTAGAAATGAGGGAAGACTTACATTCTTGATTTTTGTCAAGAATATGCCTTTGTGTTTGTTCTCTCATTCTGTCTTTTCTTTCTTTATCTTTCCACACTGAAGTTTTCCTGTAAAGAAATTGCTTCCATTTCCATTTCATTTGCCATTTTATTTACTTTTTGACTACATTTTCACGCGGGATTTGAGTTTCCAAAAGTATGTGATGCAGTATAAGTGAAATGTATACCTTTTTCCCTTAATTTTGCTCTGTTTAGTTTCTTGTTTTTATAGAAATAGAGAACCTTGTTTAGGTCACTCTCTCTGGTGCAATTTCTAACATTTACTAGCTCCACTTATGCTCCGTGTCTCCCTAGTAGCTGATAAACCGAAACCATTGTCATTTAAGCACACTGGAGCATTTTCCTTTAAATTCAGCTAGGGATTCTTTAGTTGAGATATCCCATTAGGCAATATTTTGTAGTCATTGATAATACCTACGTAATAGTTTAGAAAAATGAGCAAATTATCATATTAAATAACAGGGAATAGAAGCCAATACACTAATGTAAAAACTGAGTTAAAGGGATTTTTCATTTATCCAACGTAGTCTGAACTTCGATAGAAAGAGCACAATGGAAGTATAGTTCAGTGTGAAAGATCAAAAACATGAACCAATAAACCACTATGAAATTTATACTTTGATCATATCTGTCTCTTAATAAACGAGTTTAATACTTTTACATTTATTGTATTTGCTGTTATTCTTGTCCTCTTTCTGCCACTGTGTTCTGGCTGTGTCAGGGGGCAGGCCACAGATGAACTCAGCACTGAGCTGTTTTCTCAGAGAGACACAGAGTGCAAATGGAGTCATAATTACTCTTCAAAGTTAGAGAGCTGACACATATATTACTTACTGTTTGCCAGGCACTGTTCTAAGCACTTTATATATAATAATTCATTTAATCCTTTCAACAATCCATGATGCATATTTTTACACTATTCACTTGAGAAAACAGGAAAAGAGACTTAACTTTTCCCAAGTTTGCACAGCTGGTGTGCAGCGAGGTTGATATGTAAACCCAGCCAGTGGTTTCAGATCTGTGTTCTTAATCGCTAAATGTTACTGTCTCCTTTAAGAGCTTATTAATTAGAGAGACAACATAATGATGACACTGGAAAGAGAAAAATCTAAAAACTGTTAGAGGAGGAAAAAAATAATTTACTTACAAAAAGTGATTAGCAGACTGTCAATATACATTTTATCTCTAACTGAACCTAATGGAATAACATTTTAGGAGTGCTAAAGGAAAATAAGCCAACCTAGAATTCTTTAACTACTTGAGCATACAAGAGTCAAAGTGAAGTAAAGCCATTTTGAGATGTGTGGATTGTGACTGTTTGCTACTAATAGATTATCTCTGAAAAGACTACTATTAAGAATGTACTTCAGCAAGGAGGAAATTAATACATTATGTGACCTTTGGTAAAAAACTAATTATGCTATTAAGATGGTGCCTAGTATAGTGCTTAGCACATGTTCATTGATTTCTTAATGTCATTTCCTTCTACTTATATAGAAATATATGCTTTAAATGTACTTGCTAACAACACGATTCTTCCAAGATTTATATACTCTACTGATTAAAGCTTTTTCTAAAAACTGAAATGTTAGTCATTGAAGGAAAGCACTCATGGAGGACACTCCTGCTGATGATGGCAGAGGTGGTAAACTTAATGGTATTCAAGAATAGTATGTTATTCCTATTACTAAAGAGTAAATACACATAGATCAGTTTTAGTAGGTTAGATTACTAAATGATTAGAATTTATGAATCATAAATAAAGAGTTTCTTCTGCTTTTTGTGTCCTCATAATTGATTTGAAAACCCAAGTCTTTTATATAACAATTACAGATTCATGTGGTCATTTGAATTCTAAGGTGTATTGTTTCCTTTTCAGCGCCTGGCTTTGGAAGCAGAGAAAGTTCAAGCAGCCCACCAGTGGAGGGAAGATTTTGCAGTAAGGAACCTTTTTAACTGCTTGATTTAAGTAGATTGACATTTTGTGTTTGGAGAATTATAAGCACATTAAAATATTTTTTAGTGATGGAATCTAATGGTGTTATGGGACTAAGAAACAGCTATACTTTGTTGCTTTAAAAAAAATTGCTTTTGGGTAATTAGGGCCAATGAAGTTAGTCAAAGTGTTCTTGCTTATGTTCCATATTAAAAAATAAAGTCCCTTGAAATGTTCTCCCATACTCAAAGATATGTGTAAAATTAATTACATTAAAAGTAGTCAAATTATAATATCTGAATAATCTTTGTAGATATTATGAATATACTAGTTGAAAAACAAGTTGCATTTAACAACTTTTAGTTTGTAAGAAGCAGTATGCTTATTATAATCACCTTGATGGTTGGCTATGTGATTAAAGTGAGAATAAACGTATTAAACCTCTTAAAATTTAATTTGCTCCACTTTAGCTAAAAGTAATCTTTCATCTACTCTGGCCTACTTTTAGAAATGCCAGCTGATACTAGCTTTTGCGTGTATTTTTTGATAAACTTGTTTTGTGCTCCCAGAGTCATTGGGTTAATTATACAAACAGCAGAAATCCTCCTCGTGAGGAGTTCTATCTATCTGTCTGTCTATCTATCTTCTTACAACAAAGAGGCACAGTGAAGAAGTATATCCTTAATAGTTAGTTAAAATACTTCTGTTACATATTGGAAGTATTTCATGTTATATAGCGAAAATTTCTTTGGTTTCTGATCACAAGAAAATTTTAGACCATTCATTTTGGGGATGCTAAACTCCACCTCACCCCGCTCATTTAAAATAGGAGTAGAGTATGAGTGACACCTTGGTTGTGCTGTTCGACTGTCTTGGAATGTTTGCAAAACAAAAATCTCAGATTTGAAGGTAAGAAAGTTGTGCCTCAATAGAACACTAAACTGAGGGTTAGAAATTAGCACTTTTATTTTGTGTTTTTATGATTAGATTGTACATCAAAGGAAAATACGTTAAATGATATTTCATTCACTTATATGATAATGGTTGGATAGTCTTCCATGCTTGACATTTCTGATGTTATTTATTTTTACCATCTTTTCTACTTAATTTATATTTCCTAAACAAACAGTCTATATACTAGAGACTCTATTTGACTACCGTCAGTTTGTTTGATTCTTTCACTAAATTGATCATATTGCCTGAGTTGTTGATGTCATGTAAATAAGTACTGGCTTGGTCCACAACTGTTTGTCATAGGTAGGTTAAGAAAGATCAATTGGTCATCCATAATATATAAAGAAAAATCAGTGATTAAGTTAAAAACACAAGCTTCTTGGCTATTGAAGACAAATTGTAGGCTCATCCAATGAAAGGATTTACAATGTAGTTAGTTGTTTTTAGATGAAAGGAATGTAAACTGGAATGTTTTTGTTTCTTAAATAGACAAAAAGCAGCCAAACTAATTTGTGCTAATTAATATCCTTTTGGCTAATATTAAATGGAAATTACTCTTTTCCCTCTAACTTAGAGGTGGCATAATAAAAGCAGTGTAAAGTCATAATAGATGTAAAGCTACATCATATCTTCTGCCTTGTATTGGTATAGCAATTAGTGCTATTTTAGTTTAAACTCAAAAAATTGTTAAGTTCACACAAATCAGCTTCTGTAATATATAGATTTCATTGCTGTTCAGAGAAGCTTTTCTTTGCATTAAATAAATTTAGTGATATCTCAGGTAGTCATTTATTAGTTGTATGTCTTTTTCAGTTTTAACCTTGACAAGTAGGGATGTAGTAATGCCTTTTATATCATTGGCGTTGTTTTATTTAATTATTATGTTATTGCTTTCTAGATTTTATTTCCTTTCCCAGATATATTGTAAACTTTTTGATATTGGGCTCATTAACACTAAATTAACATTTTGGCAAATGATTTATTTCTCCTTCCAGAAGTAATGGAGATTGTCATTGTACATGACACAAAAGCCCACAATGCATGTAGCTATTAGCATATTTTATTGAATCCAAGCCAGCCTCAATGTAAGACACCTTATCATTTATGTATTGCTAAGAAAGAAAAAAAAAGAAACCGATTAAATTATGATGAACCAACAATTTTAAGCTGTATTCTTATCTGTCAGATTTCAAAATATGAAAAAATTTACGTTGAAATGTAACCCCTGTTGTCCACTCTCTCAGTGCCTGTATTCAAACAGAAGCACTGCTAGGAAAGTGATGCAAATGGACAGATCAGTCTCACAGTGACACAAAAGCTACTACTAAATCTTACATGGTTAAATAGAAAATAAATGGTTTACCCAGTAAGTGTTAGGAGTTCTTAGCAAATAGTGGTCACTATGTGGGAGAATTCTTGAACAAATTCTGTTCTTAATTTCCCCCTAGATTACCTCACAATTTATTTAGGACCTATGAACATATTGATTGTTATCAAAAGAGACTGTTAAAGGGAAAACAAATTAGGTTACATTAGAGCCCTGTCCACTCATTTCTTGACTACCCTTGAAGGACTGTGAGTGATGTTCACAGGGCACAATATCTGTCACAGTTTGTACACTGAGAATTGATATTTTCCATATTTTACCATGTCAGCCATACATAAAGTCTTTACAGTAGCTCTTTCCTTTGAAATGCTGTAAGGTGATAGAACGTTGAGATAGTGGCAATTTTATGTTTGAAGAATAGAATCTGGTTGGAGATTGCCTAACCTTCAGACTCAAGTAAGTAAATAGTGCAAAAATAAGAAACACTTTCTCACTTTTTCCTTCTTTTCTCTGATAAACTAGATGATGCTTCAGTTCATATATATATAGCAAAGTCAAACAAATCCTTCAAGGCAGTAATACAAATCAAACTCAAATCATGGTTGGAAATTAGAAATCATTAACACTAAATGTCTCCTTATTTTGTGAGACCATACAAAACAATTGCAAATTTTATCAGTATTTTAACCAACCATTTAAAAATGTTTAATTTGAAATCAAATGCTACCATATTCCAAAAGTTGTCCTCCTTTTAAACTTTATAATCCTTTTATCTTTTAAGGTATTTAACTGTTTGCATCAGTGCAATAGTTCTTTAATACCACCCTTTAATAATTTAACACTAGGATGATTTAGAAGGCAGAAATAATTTGCTAAAAGGTACATTAACATTTCAAAAAGAAATATAATATTCTGATTCTTCCCTCAAGTATAAATAGGCAAGTTTCATCAATATTACCTAGGCAAAATGTTGATTAACATTCTCTACTGTGTAATGTAGAGAAATCGCATCAACAACAAGAACAAAAGGCAAAGCACTACAATGCTGGCAACAAGAAAGGGCTCATGTAATTCACACTCTCCCTCAGCTCCACTCAATTCCCAATTGGATGTACAACTGAGGGAAGAAAGGGCATACACTCTAAATGGATTAAGATTTATGCAGTCATGCATTTACAAGTTCAAACCAATATTTGTAAATAAGCTGTATCTACCAGCTGCCTTTCAGGTCTCTATGCAACTTATGGGTGTTAAAGGTGACATTTCATGTCACTTCTGATGGACAAATTATTTTATTAAGGGCAGGTGGGAGAGGAAAAAAGAGCTTGGAAATAATTGCTCTGCATGAAAAAATTGCTATTGTTTCTACCAAAGAGATCTTTTCCAATTGCATTTGAAAACTCATTTGATTGCTTGCAATGGTTGGTTAACTAAAGCAATTTTGTTTCCAACTAAGCTTGTGATATTAATTGTACTTACACGTGTATAAACATAAGGGGTGCCTAATTTGTATTTTAATAAGTAGGATCTTTATGTATGGCTTATTAGCATCAGCTTGTTACTGTGCAGGCTGAGTACAGACATCTAGAAATTGGCCAGTAAATAAAACATTTGAAGAGCCTTTTTTAGCTTCATCTTCACAGAGAAACTAAATTAGAAGGTGAAAGTTTTTTTAGTGAAGCTGAATGTTATTGAGTATCATTCAAGCTAATTAAATTCTCCTAATTTAGCTTTATTTTTATATATTTTTTAAAAAATCACTTTGCTGAAATCATATTTTGAAATGTTGCTTTCAAAGTTGTAATATTTAAAATTTCATGTTTATATGAATTAAATTAATAAGCACTGCCATTATATATTTAATTATTCCATCTATCCTATTCATTTCATGGAATTGCGTCACATCTGTTGATTGCAACACAGACAATTGTGAATACGTGAACTGTGAAAAAATTCTATATTTATTTTGGTTACAACGTATAAAGATAAACACTCTTCTAAATTATAATTTGGTATAGGCTCTGGATATGAAAGAGCTGACTTTTTAGGAATGAAAAGTGAGAGAGTGGCGTTCTGTGTTAATGAATAAATGAATGAATTTAATAGATCACCATAATGATTTTAGGCTCCAGCTGGCTTTAGTCTTTTTTAGTTTCCACCTTTGGTTGAATTTCCCTTTTGGAATCAAGAGCTTGCATATTTTAATATGTTTTTGCTACACATCTGCTATGTAGGGAAACAATTTTTTCTACTGCTTTAAGACTCTTGTCAATCTATTCTCATCATCAAGATAGACAAAAAGAAGCCACACTGCAAAATTGATTTACCCCCAAATTGTGGGAAACCAATTTAATAGAAAAGAGCCAGGCAAATTTATGTTGCTTCACTCTTTTTATTTACGCATACATAGAAATGCCTGTGGTGAGAGCAGTATGACACAGCAGAGTAGAAAATAATAAACATAGGCTTTAAATTGTTGCTTATCCTGGGTGATAACTCCCACCTTTTGTTTCTTGAAAAATAGAAGAGGCAAAATATTTATCCATTAATTACCTAGACAATAATGTTTGTTTCATTTTTAATATTTTCTAATAATCTTCTTGACCTCACTTTCTATTATTTCTATTAAAGCCAAGGTCACATGATAGTACAGTAGAACCCCCTAAACAAAAACATCATGATGATATGTCCGGGGATAATGCAAATTTAGATCTAAATGGGG